CACACAAGTATGTTTTCCACCTGTGACAAAACAGATCAAAAATGGACTGCAATGTATCCATATATATGACGCAACGCAAGTAATGTGCATCTGTTTACATTCATCAATCCATTCATGTACGTCTGACTGAAAGCAAGAAGTTGATGTCCAGGTTTTGTGGACTTGGCCACATGTGGTCTGATATAGGTAGATGAACGTCTGCTTACATGTGGGCGCCGGCAGGGATTACATGGGTCCGTGGGCGCCGGCAGGGATTACATGGGTCCGTGGGCGCCGGCAGGGATTACATGGGTCCGTGGGTCCGTGGGCGCCGGCAGGGATTACATGGGTCCGTGGGCGCCGGCAGGGATTACAGGGGTCCGTGGGCGCCGGCAGGGATTACAGGGGTCCGTGGGCGCCGGCAGGGATTACAGGGGTCCGTGGGCGCCGGCAGGGATTACATGGGTCCGTGGGCGCCGGCAGGGATTACATGGGTCCGTGGGCGCCGGCAGGGATTACATGGGTCCGTGGGCGCCGGCAGGGATTACATGGGTCCGTGGGCGCCGGCAGGGATTACATGGGTCCGTGGGCGCCGGCAGGGATTACATGGGTCCGTGGGCGCCGGCAGGGATTACATGGGTCCATGGGTCGCCGGCGCCGGGGGATTACATGGGTCCGTGGGCGCCGGCAGGGATTACATGGGTCCGTGGTCGCGGCAGGGATTACATGGGTCTAGTTTTCCTCCATCACAAAATGAAGTAAAAACACAGTGGATATGGATATCACATAGGTGACATTCCATTCTGATCTGCCAATAGGGGATCAGTCTAGGACGCCCTGCGGTGAAGGAACAGAGGGTGCCCATGTGAATGGGGTCCAGGAGCATGCAGAGTTCATAGTAGGCACAGCTGTCCTGGTTTGGACCAGCTTTAGTTGCTTTTACATTACCATAGACTTGTTCTAAAAACAAAAAAGCCTGTTAACACTGGCCCTAACACGCATGACTTCTGTCCCTCTGAAAAATGTTTTGCAGTGGATGGCTCTTCAGAGACATTTGACAGGCAGTGAGGAGGGGATATATGTCACCTCCTCACTGTCGGTTTTAGGGCTTGTGCACAGCAGATGCATTCAGGAGAAAGTTTAGTTGGACGATCGGGGGGGTTTTGGAAGTGGTAAAACTGCAGCTCAACAGCCTGCTTTTTAGCACCCATGTGAAGGTGCCCCAACAATGCCCAGTAGATGGTAGAACAGCAGGTGAAATGAATGCTTTTCTTTGTAAACGTCACAAATCATCAGACATGTGCTCTCCACACTCAGTATACAGCCAGTTACAATGTCTCTATGCAGATACAAATCTCCAGTGTGCAGAATCAGCCGCACTGGATACACAAATCTACTGAAACTGCTTCTAAATGCTACAAAAAAGAAACTTGTCATGATGGAGCTGCTGATGACTGGGGTCTGGATTTCCAATGGCTCCGAATCTTGATGACTGAAGACTTTGTAGCTGCCACCAAGTGGCTCTGAGACAAGACCCACAAAGCCTAGTACACACCGTTAGAAAATCGCATGAACAATTGTACCATTTTTTTGTTTCCTCGCCCCAAGTTGAAAAGGAGAATGCCATTAATGATAGGAAAATTCTTGAATGAAAGGGACAACTTCCTCCAGTCTGCGTAAGGGGCCGGTTCACACTATAGAAACGCTGTCCAGATGCTTTCCGGATGTGTTTTTGACACGTTCCAGTGTGTTTTTTAATGCATTCCAGTTCATTTTTCCCTCTCTCTTTTTCAATTTAGATAGAAACGTGTGTTCCGATGTGTTTTACCGCGAGTTCCAGTACAGTTCTGTGCAGAAAAAATGCAGCCTGTTCTACTTTTTTTTTCTGCATCCGGAATGCACTGAAACTGCAAGCACTGATGTGAACTATGACATTGACAACCATATAAAACTTACTTTCTGTGCATTTTGGATGCAGAAAAAAAAAAACAAACAAACGCACGTAGTGAGAAGCAGGCCTATATGCGGCCTCTTGGCTGGCGGGCTTTAAGACCGAGCAGCCACATATGTAAACATTGCCCACTTCCAGCACAGTAACCAGGGGGGTACCAGAAAGCTCCCGATAACAATCACTGGGAGCTTTCTGTTCATGTGACCGCTGTGACTGCCAATCACAGTGGTCACATGACTGGACTTAGAACCTATTTAGGGCCGGGATGTGGAGGTGGGAAGGGGTTATTTAAAGTGGTTGTAAAGGCTCCAGGTTTTTTACCTTCATTCATTCTATGCATGAAGGTAAAAAAAAAAAACCTAGTGTGCAGCAGCCCCCCCCCCCCCCCCTTCCCCAATACTTACCTGAGCTCCATCACAATCCAGCTATGTGCACGAGAATCTCAGCTGTCCTGGGTGTCTGCCTCCTCACTGGCTGAGACAGCAGTGGGAGCCATTGGCTCTCACTGCTGTCAATCACAGCCAGCAAGCCAATGAGGAGACAGAGGGGGTGAGGCTGAGCCACGGCTCCGTGTGTGAAAGGACACAGAGTAGCTGCTCATGATCGTGCTTCGTCGGGTGCCCCCCCAGCAAGCTGCTTTCTATGGGGGCACCCAACAGGAAGGAGACAGGAGCGCCGGCTGGGGACCTGAGAAGAGGAGAATCTGGGCTGCTCTGTGAAATGAAAATTGGACTTTATGATATTGAACAAGGAAAAACTGGATATTTTCAGTCGATTTTCTAATAGAGTGTAGGAGGCTTAAGACTGATGATCCCTCGGACAGCGAAAAATCACCAGCTGCAGGATCACTGAAGTAGCGACCTGTCAGTCCTCATGGAATTACTATCTCTGTAGCTGAGATGTCGCTCCCATGTGCTGTTCTATTACACAGAGCAGGTAAGTGTCACATGCTTGTTATAAAAAAAGAGAGACTTTACAACATGTTATGAGCCATCTGGGTTGTATCCAAAGCAGAAAGGCCCTTGTATTACACGGCTGATGGTAGATGTAAAGGACATTGTACAATCAGATTGTATAGTGTCTCAGGTCTGTGGGTGTCTAAAGTCTGAATTTAAAATACTGATAGTCTGTAGTTAAGGAGCTACTGCAGATTAGCATGTGTCTGACGGGGCATGCTGATACCTGTAGTCCTTCAGCAGCTGCAGTGAAGACAGAAGAACATGAATTTGCCTTTAAGCAAAGTAGATAAAAGTATCACACAGAACTCAGGAAACCGGCGTGTACCCCACCCTGCCCGTCACTGCATAGAGATCAAAGGAGAGGAGCGGGGTCATGTACACAGACGACTGCTGATCTCACCACATAGAGATCTCCATACACACACCTGATCCCTGATCTCACCCCATAGAGATCCCAACTGGGAGATCTCCATACACACAATTGATCCTTGATCTCGCCCCATAGAGATCCCCGCTGGGAGATCTCCATACACACAATTGATCCTTGATCTCGCCCCATAGAGATCCCCGCTGGGAGATCTCCATACACACAATTGATCCTTGATCTCGCCCCATAGAGATCCCCGCTGGGAGATCTCCATACACACAATTGATCCTTGATCTCGCCCCATAGAGATCCCCGCTGGGAGATCTCCATACACACAATTGATCCTTGATCTCGCCCCATAGAGATCCCCGCTGGGAGATCTCCATACACACAATTGATCCTTGATCTCGCCCCATAGAGATCCCCGCTGGGAGATCTCCATACACACAATTGATCCTTGATCTCGCCCCATAGAGATCCCCGCTGGGAGATCTCCATACACACAATTGATCCCTGATCTCACGCCATAGAGATCCCACACACATGATCCCTGATCTCACGCCATAGAGATCCCACACACACATGATCCCTGATCTCACGCCATAGAGATCCCACACACACATGATCCCTGATCTCACGCCATAGAGATCCCACACACACACATGATCCCTGATCTCACGCCATAGAGATCCCACACACACACATGATCCCTGATCTCACGCCATAGAGATCCCACACACACACATGATCCCTGATCTCACGCCATAGAGATCCCACACACACACATGATCCCTGATCTCACGCCATAGAGATCCCACACACACACATGATCCCTGATCTCACGCCATAGAGATCCCACACACACACATGATCCCTGATCTCACTCCATAGAGATCCCACACACACACACATGATCCCTGATCTCACGCCATAGAGATCCCACACACACACATGATCCCTGATCTCACGCCATAGAGATCCCACACACACACATGATCCCTGATCTCACGCCATAGAGATCCCACACACACACATGATCCCTGATCTCACGCCATAGAGATCCCACACACACACATGATCCCTGATCTCACGCCATAGAGATCCCACACACACACACACATGATCCCTGATCTCATGCCATAGAGATCCCACACACACATGATCCCTGATCTCATGCCATAGAGATCCCACACACACACATGATCCCTGATCTCAGTCCATAGAGATTCCAGCTGGGAGGTCTCCATACACACACATGATCCCTGATCTCAGTCCATAGAGATTCCAGCTGGGAGGTCTCCATACACACACACACGATCCCTGATCTCGCCCCCACAGAGATCCCAGCTGGGAGGTCTCCATACACACACACGATCCCTGATCTCGCCCCACAGAGATCCCAGCTGGGAGGTCTCCATACACAACACGATCCCTGATCTCGCCCCACAGAGATCCCAGCTGGGAGGTCTCCATACACACACACGATCCCTGATCTCGCCCCACAGAGATCCCAGCTGGGAGGTCTCCATACACACACACGATCCCTGATCTCGCCCCACAGAGATCCCAGCTGGGAGGTCTCCATACACACACACGATCCCTGATCTCAGTCCATAGAGATCCCAGCTGGGAGGTATCCACACACATGATCCCTGATCTCACCCACAGAGATCCCAGCTGGCATATGTCCTGAAACACACATGATCCCTGCTCACAGTCCATAGAGATCCCAGCTGGGACTTACCCTGGAAATGGTTAGAGGTTGATCGAAGTCTTTTCCCCCGACCAGTCGGAAGCCCCATGGTGCGGGTCCGGCGACGACGATGCGTTTGGTGGTCATAGTACAGAGAGGGGTGGATGGAGGACGGTGTTCAGTCTTCTCCCGGCGGGCTGAGTGTGTCCAGCTTCTCCCGAGGACGGATCCCTCCGGCACAGAGGGGCGTGGTCTGTGACAGCCGGGAACGGCCTACAACGAAGGTTCAAGCTGGGCACAAATTCCCTCTTCTATCTCCATTGGGCTGCGTGTATGTGTGGGAGGTCCCAGTCAGCCCCGCCCCTCTGACACAGCACTGTGCCCATGTATGGAAGAGCTGGGATCCCGAACTTCAGGAATGTTTACAGAGCTCAGCATTCCTCTCCATCATCACTCTGCACCTTGGAAGGATCCCAGCCTAGTGGGGCGACCTTCGGCCCTGGGGATGGGGGACCCAGGACGGGGATGGGGGATCCAGGGGATGGGGGATCCAGGGGGACCATGGGATGGGGGGGGATCCAGGACGGGGATGGGGGATCCAGGACATGGGATGGGGGACCCAGGACGGGGATGGGGGATCCAGGACATGGGATGGGGGATCCAGGACATGGGGGGGATGGGGGATCCAGGACATGGGAGGGAAGGCCTGCACTTTTATCTCATCATAAAAGAGGAAAACACTTCTTCCATACTGAATATAGTAAACGCCCGGGGTTTTCACACTTCTACAAACTCCAGTTCATTTAAAATGGTTGTAATCCTCAGACATGAAGTATGAGCAAAGCATATCCCTCTATAATGTGTGCTTGTCTCTATCCAGAGCCCTAAGTGTCATTTCTGTCTACCCCTTTGTTCCTCGGCTATCAGCATGAGTTACTTCTGATAAGTTTTCCTGACACCAATAGGAAAATGGTGACAGAGGAGGGAGCTCCAGCAGATTGACAGCCTCAGCCCTGTTCATGGGTGCTGTGTGAAGGGGGTGTGTGTCCCTTCCCTCCAATCAGCTCTCAGAGCTCTCCTCCCTGAGCTCTGCAGCATGTAATTTCAACTCCTTGCCCCCTTTTTTTCTGACAGCTCAGGCAAGCTTTATTCATTCCGCAGGTTGAATGGATGTAGAGAAGAATGCAGATAAACAGGTACAACTTGTGTTGGGGAATTTGTTTAATCTCTGTGTATCACCTGAGGTCAGTCACTTCACTGGGTATATGTAAGGGTTTACAGCCACTTTTATTGTCCCTGGGGATGCTAGGTATGCTCTGCTCTATTGCCCAACAGATTAGCCATGTACCTTCTCCGCTCAGCCACTCAAACAATAGCTAAGGAATAGAAGAAGCCCTCAAGGACCTTCTGAGTCAGCTACTCAGAGAAACCCCAGTATCCTCAATGATTCTCAACCAGAATTTTTACACACTTGGGACCCATGGCTTATGTACCTTCCTACGTTGAATCGAGCAAGCCCATATTATCTTTAGCGCCCTATTTCAATTTGGACCCGAGTTCATGAGGGCCCCCTCCCTTCCTCCTGGCCCTCACTTACCTTCCTCTCCTCCTTTTCTCCCCTTATGCCTAGTTTCCACTCCTTCACTCCCTTTCTGATTGTGCAACTCACGTGAAGCATCTTATTATTCCAACTGTTCCTAACCTTCAATGTATACCTGCTGTGCTTGCCTCTTGCCGTCTTTCAAAAACTTGTTGATTTTCATTCCATGTTTATTACCAGCTTCCGATTGATACCAAAATCCTATTCTATTTGCAAATGGTGCCAGCATCACTCGCTAGGATGTTTTTCTAAGGCAGGCCATAGACGGGCCATTTATCGGCCGAATTTTTGGCCAATAAATGAAAAATCGGTCGGCCCCGTTGCTGCCACCCATGTCCACGAAAAACGGCTGTTTTTTTGCGGATTTTCCAGCATAACCGATAAAAATAAATGAGGAGATCCGCGAAAAAGGGCCAATGGGCTGGCCCCACTAACGGCTTGATTATCGACTGATTTTTCGTATGGACGAAAATTCGGCCGATAAACGACCCATCTATGGCCTGCATTAAGCTTTGATAGATTGTTCATACCTTTTATGTGGAGTAACAATAGGCCACACCTCGCCATTTCCACTCTGAAAAAGCCTAAAAGATTATGGGGAATGAGTATAGCAGATGTACAACGCTATGATAGAGCCATTGTACTCCAGAGAATCCTGGATTGGCATCATCATCATGTCACAAACTTTGATAACCCATGGAGACATTTATGGCAGGAAGCAATCTGTCACACACATTGTGACTCAAGAGCAAATTTAGGGGGGCTTGCCGGTCATACCTCTCCTGCCACGGCACACATCCTACTCCTCTGGGACAAGATGAATAGGGCTGGTGGCCTGTCCCCACCCTGGCAGACCCTCAGGTGAAACCAGTCTTTATACGAGAATCAAAAAAAGATCTGCACCATGAATTTTTTCAGTGTCTCAGCTGGATCTCATAGACATTTCACTCGCTCCAGTTTTGTGGATACTAAGATGCAGAAAAACTCTAAAGTACTTACCTGATGGAACCGAGTCCCCTCCACGCTTGTGATCATTTACCCCTCACAGTATAACCTCTGTTGGAGAGGCCATGGGCACTGCAGTAATTTTTTTTACATATTTGGTGGGACCGTCCTAGTATCTGTCCATTTTGGTTAGACATCTATCTTAGATACAGAGATACTTGATTGTCCAGCATACTTTTTACTTCATGCCCCCACCATTCCCATCAGCCATTAGAAAAATTGTATGTTGCCACACCTTTAGAATGCTGCCAGATGACTCATTTTGGTCTATTGGTAGAGACCCCAAGTGCCTAGCAGAGCAGACTGTATTAGGAAAGTAGCAGATATAATGAAGAATGGATGGCTAAGTGCAAAGAGAAATGTGAAAACTTGTACGCTTTATGGGCTACTTGGACTCATTGCAGTTCCTCTACCACCGGGGCACTTACTTTGTCTCCACCTATGTCCCCACCACCTCCAACCACTACTCGCCATGAAGTAGCTAGGTGTTCTTTTATGATATTTGGGTTTTATAAACTCGCTGGTGTTTATTTACGAAAGCTGGAGAGTGCAAAATCAAGCTCACTGCTGCATAGAATGTAATCAGCTTCTAACCTCAGCTTATTCAATTAAGCTTTGGCAATACAACCTGGAAGCTGATTGGTTTCTATGCCGAAGTAAGCCTGATTTTGCACTCTCCAGCTTTATTATTATCATCATTATTATACAGGATTTATATAGCGCCAACAGTTTGCTCTGCCCTTTACAATATAACGGTAGACAATACAGCAACAATACAAGAGGAATTTGAGGGCCCTGCTCCTTGGAGCTTACAATCAAGAAGGGAGGGGCTAGTGGTACAAAAGGTAGTAACTGTGGGGGATGGACTGGTTGGAAGAGTAGAAGATTCCAGTATTAGTGAGGGCAGGATAGGCTTCCCTGAAGAGATAGGTTTTCAGAGATATTGCCTAAAAGTGAGCAGAGTAGGCGATAGTCTGATTCTGATACACTGGGGTAGAGAGTTCCAGAGGATGGGGAAGCTCTGGAGAAGTCCTGGAGACGAGCATGGAAGGATGAGACAAGGGAGCTATAGAGTAGAAGGTCTTGCGAGGAGCGGAGAGTACGGTTTGGGTGATATTTAGAGACAAGATCGGTGATGTAATTTGGGGCAGAGTTATAAATGGCTTTATACGTTAATGTTAGTGTTTTGAATTTTATCCTTTGGGCAATGGGAAGCCAGTGGAGGGATTGGCAGAGAGCATTCATGATAGACTGAAAAGGGGATAGCCTGTGATGAGGTAGGCCACTGAGGAGGGAGTTACAATAGTCAAGGAGAGATATAACAAGGGAGTGAATAAGTTGCTTAGTGGTTTCCGAGATTAGGAACGGGCGTATCTTGGAGATGTTGCGGAGGTGAAGTCTACAAGATTTGGACAGTGAATGGATTTGGGACTGAAAGGACAGATGGGAGTCTAGGATTACACCTAGTACCCTGGCATGAGGGGAGGGACTGATGATTGTGTTATTGATCTTGATGGAGAAGTCAGGGGAGGGGGCACGGGCTGGGGGGAATACTAAGAGCTCAGTTTTGGAAAGATTGAGTTTGAGGAAGTGAAGTGACATCCATGGCGATATGTCGCTTAGTAGGTTAGTAATGCAAGAGGAAACTGAAGGAGTGAGGTGAGGAGTAGAAAGATAGATGTGTGTCATCAGCATAGAGATTGTACTTAAAGCCATGGGAGTTTATCAAGTGACCAAGGGAGGAGGTGTAGATGAAGAAGAGAAGGGGTCCAAGGACAGAACCTTGAGGGACCCCTACAGAAAGAGGGAGTGAAGATGAGGAGGCAGTGTTATAGGCAACGCTGAAGGAGAACTGTGATAGGTAGGAGGAGAACCAGGAGAGAGCAGAGTCTCAGAGGCCAAGAGAGTGGAGTTTTTTGAGGAGGGGATGGTCAACCGTATCAAAAGCCACAGAGAGGTCAAGTAGTAAGAGTACGGAGTAGTGGCCATTGGTTTTAGCTGTTAGTAGATCATTAGTGAGTTTTAGTAGGGCAGTTTCAGTGGAGTGTAGTGAGAGAAAGCCAGACTGGAAAGGGTCAAGAAGGTTGTTGTCGGTGAGGTGGGAGCTCAGGCGATTGTAGACTAAGCGTTCTATGAGTTTAGAGGTAAATGGGAGCAGGGAGATGGGTTTTAAGTTGTTCAGGTTGGTGGGGTTCAGGGAGGGCTTTTTAAGTATGGGAGTGATGTGTGCATGCTTTAGAGGGGAGGGGAAGGCACCAGTAGAGAGAGAAAGATTGAAGACGTTAGTGAGGGAGCATAGGATGGAAGAAGAGGGTGACCGTAGTAGTTGTGAGGGGACAGGATCCAGGGGGCAGGTAGTGAGACAGGCTTCTGAGAAAACCTTAGTGACCTCTTTGGTAGTAGCAAGGTCAAAAGAGGAAAGTGTTGAGGGAGGTTTAGAATAAGGTATGCTAAGTGGAATGGATGTCTGTGCAGTGGTGATGCCCCTACGAATTGCGTCAATCTTGTTTTTGAAATGATTTGCAATCTCGTGAGCAGTGAGTGAGGTACTGGGTGGGGGTGGAGAAAGTAGAGAGTTAAAAGTAGAGAAGAGACGACGAGGACTGGATGAGAAGGTAATAATAAGAGTGA